GTATGGGCGGGGCCAAATGACCGACTTTTGAAAGCTTCTTTCCGATTGGTCAGTCCGCTGCAGAATGACACGTCGCCAGTTCAGGTCACAAAGTATTTTACCACGTACTTTTGTACACGGAAATCGATGTTTCTAAACATATGAGCGTAGTATATTTGTTAAGGTGTGTTAGATTTGGTTTAAACCTATCGGTCTCGAGTTCAAACCCAAATTTCATGTTCTAACCGCCAGTATAGCCACTCAAAACAACGTATCCCCTAATTAATAGATTCTTCCCCTACCTTGAGGGATGTGGTGAGAACAGACAATTGAAATGGGGAGACATAGAATTAAAAAAGGACGAAAATGGATCAGAATACCTAGAATTTGTCGAAAGAACAACAAAAACAAGAGGTGGAAACAGTACTCACTTGTGATCATTTAATCCGAAACAGTTTGAAAATCCTGAAAATAAGTCGCGATGTCCAATCGAAGTATACAAATTGTACGCCATGCATCGTCCTCAAGCAATGGATACACCAATCAGCACTGGTGAAAGGTGGTTCAAAAACCAACCAGTTGGAAGAAACAAACTCGGTGTAATGATGAAAACAATTGCAAATGATGCCGGTCTTACTGGTAACAAAAAACCCAAACCAATCAATGAGAAAAACACTGTGTGCAAATCTCCTCCATTCCGGTGTTCCCCCCTACGACAAGTATGCAATTATCTGGTCACAAAAACTTAAATAGTGTAAATAACTATGCCGTAGCTTCCTTTAACCAACAACGTGAAATGTGCGAAATTCTTCAAAATGTAAGAAAGTCCGCTGTACCATCCAGTGGAACGTCCACAGTATCACGTAGGCCAGTGACGGAAACATCACACAGTCAAACCTTACCAGTTGTCACCACCTCTAATAATGGACCTCGTGAGGAAGACGTACAAAATCTTGCGACGGGAATGTTTTCTGGCGCAAATATCATTGGTGGAACTTTCATTATCTCCTTTCAAATATCATCCCAGTCACAAAATACAACATCTCACAGCACTTCACCTCCTCGTAAGTACAGACGCATAGTACAGTTGCCTGACTCCAATCCTGATGACTGAAGTAATATCGTGGGAGATTTGAGTTTGTGGCCAGTGTCAGTGACGTCAGGCACCGATATCGCGAGTTGGGAGAATTTACTTACTTATAGTGAACGTTTCTGATTTTGCTATTAATTTTTACCACTATTTCAAAAAAGAAATTGTTAAATATTTGAAATCTGTGTTGTTCTTGTGGAGTATTTGTTTTACCAGTTAAAATACCGTAGAGAAAGTCTATGACACAAATCTGCACTATATGTTAGTACCTGTGGCTGGTGCCGCCGAAACTAGTTCAAATCGGTTTCTGAAAGACAATGAGGAACTGAAAAGTTCCCGGTATTTGCAATTTTTTTTTATCAAAGTTTATAAAATCTTTATATCGATCTCTTCCAAATACGGAAGGTATGTGATAAAAGCAAGACCACACACTTATGAGAACGGGTGATTAAGCCATACATGTATATAAATATTTCTGCTTTATCAAATGGGAACTCGGCATGAACGTCCGCATAATGTGCCACGAATGAATGAGTAATGACCTTATGGTATTCTATATGGATGACATTAACAGTGTGTTTTTGTGAACTAAAACATTTCATTGATTGACAATAGACGTTACATGTACAGAATAATGAAGAAAATATAAGGTACAAGGCCAGGCTCCAATCCAGTTGTTTTTCTAAGATCATGTCACAAAATTGTTTTGACAATCAGTCTATCATATAAACACGTTTTCTGTTTTAATATGTGGGCAAAAATCTAAAACAAATTTGAAAGAAAACCGACTACGAGTTTATATTTTCATTATTTCAAGTTTTGACCAAAACCTAGTCCGAATTATTCTGACGTTTTATCGACTTTTTTCATATCGGTCTGTCATTAATCGACGACAGACCGATATGAAAAAAGTCGATAAAACGTCAGAATAATTCGGACTAACCAAAATCATGATATATAATTTTGTTTCATATTTTTGATACCGTAGTTTTTAGATGAAATAACCGTATTTCTAAATATCATTATAAACAAAAACCAACAGTGTATATAAATGTCTGTGTTACACTGTGGTACGTGTGTGATGTTATCTTGATCTACTTTACATAGCGTGACACATGCTTATCACTTGTATTCTATTTAAGCAATACCATGCATAGATGTGGCAGACCAACTGGTATAACTGACACATGTGGCAGAGTTATACCAGTTGGTCTGGCAGCACTTTAGTAGTAATATACACCAAATGTAAATATACACATATGTCTTTCGATAGGAAATAAATCGAATCTTACTTTATAAACTTTTGTTCAATCATTTATTTGATAAAATTATTAACATCGTAAATATTATTGGGCTAGGTTATGCATGCACTAACTGAAAGTTTTGTATTCTCAATTGCCTATTTCCGGGATGCGCTATTCATCAATGCACAAATTTGATAGAATTAATACAATGATATATTCTAGTTTACAGGTACATGGTACACAATTCAACCAGCACAAACGTATGGTTTATGATGGTTTCAACTCATTGTATACATGCAATGTGTTATCAAATAACAACACTGTGAAGTTAACAACACGGATACAGTCACAATCAACAGACATCATATCTGTCTAAACATTTTATTCAGGTTGGTAAGTATGGATTATGAGAAGTTCTTTTTACACAACCAATAACATTTTCTATGTGACGTTTCGATGACTAGTACGATATGTACACTGTCACATTCATCAGACAAATGACCAATGAAGCGTATGCACACAAAGGTGTAAAATGTGAAAGAGTTGTCCATAAAATCGATGTCGATTTCGGCTACGCTGCAAAAGTACAATAGTTGTTATATCTGTATACGCATACGCTTTACTGGTCATTTGTGTGCAGAAGGTGTCAGTGTACATATCTTACTAATCATCGAAACGTCACTTAGAAAATTGTATTGGTTGTGTAAAAAGAACTTCTCATTATACAGGATATCTGATAATGTATCAGATGATAAAATTCTGTGGACTTTGTTTTTATCCCGTGTACTACAGATATCGTCTATGACAATCAAATGAAGGTTTATTTGTTTTCTTAATTCTGGAAAACTGTCGTGACACTTTGATATTTACCGTTATAGATTTATACTTACTTCACATGTTACATTCAATGACAATCCGCCATGAACGGACGAATCAAAGAATCAGGAATGAATCATTTATGAAATCATTTTATCATATTTTGTTATATAAAGTTCAAATCACGTAGTATGTTAAACTCAAATATAAAATTGTTTAGCGGCAGACAAAATGTATGTACAACAGCAATGTATGTGTGTCCAATATAAAAATAAAATAAGCATGTTATTGTTTGATTAATTATAAAGTGAAGGAAAAGATAAGAAAACGAACGATATATTTGTCAGAGTTCATGACAAGTTTCGCTACTTTTCTCAGAACATGATTACAATAAAGCTTGCTCAATTATTTTACCATTGAAATGTTTTCCGTTTTTGGCAAAATTTTGCTGACCTGATATATCATGCCATTGTTTGTATGCTTGTTTAATGTAAGTGTGTTTCCTTTTGTGTTCATACGTGTTGTAAACCTAGGTCAGTCACCGCACCATCTGCTGACCTGATATACCATGCCATTGTTTGTATGCCTGTTTAATGTAAGTGTGTTTCCTTTTGTGTTTATACGTGTTGTAAACCTAGGTCAGTCACTGTACCATGCGCTGACCTGATATACCATGCCATTGTTTGTATGCCTGTTTAATGTAAGTGTGTTTCCTTTTGTGTTCATACGTGTTGTAAACCTAGGTCAGTCACTGCACCATCTGCTGCGTCTATCGGTGAAAGTTTAAAGATTATATCTGACAACTGACAGGGTCTTGGAGATTTTTCTAAACAAAAGACGTGATTTCTTACCTAAAAACGAAAAAATATAACATATATTGCCTGCAAGATACGCATTTTACAGCTGATAAAGAAAAAATCATTCGTTCAAACTGTAGAGTAGACTATATTTTTAATTTATTTAATTCAAATTCTAGGGGAACTGCTATACTTTTTAATAATAACTTTGAATATCAGGTCTTACAAGAAAGAAGGGATGTAAATGGTAATTTATTAGCCTTAGATATGCGAATTCAGGGAGAAAAGTAACTTTCGTAACATTATATAGACCCAATACTGACCAACCGTCTTTTTATGATGAAATTTTTGATATAATAGAAGACATGGGAAAAAAATATATAGTGTGTGGAGACTTTAATATGATTTTCAATCCTATGTTAGATTGTGATAACTATAGAAATATAAATAACCCAAATGCAAGAAATACAGTTTTGGAATCGAAAGACGAATTTGGTTAAATAGACACCTTTAGAGAAAAGAACCACGAGACCAAAAGATACACATGTCGTAAGAAAACCCCACACAAACAAGCAAGATTAGATAAGATCTTAATATCAGACAGTTTACTAACAAGTCTAACATCTTCAATAATACTGATTACCGCAGTATACGGTAATCAAATTTATTGAAGCCATTATGGAAGTTTGATGTTTGATAGCATAAGGTCACCAGAGTTGTCTTTCTTGATAAATCTGAAGTATAACAGGATGTTAGAGTTATCTTTCTTTGTATTGAAATCTACAGATAGTTTCCCATAATTCCATGTTATTGGGTGAATTTCCGGAATGTTTAGTCATATTTTGGGAGACAAGCCATGCACATGTGTGCACAACAAAAAATTTGAATTTTAGCGTCCAGTTTCTCTTTTACGCATCAATGCCGAGAGGTAAGGGGGTAAGGAAGCGCAAGGGACCTGCTGTGTCCCTGTCGCCGCCGCCAACAAAGCGGAAGGGAGGAAGGCGTGCTGCGATTGATAGCCAACCGGAGTCGGGAGAGGAACACGGCGAACCATGTGCTCTGCCATCTTCATTAGGCTTAAAATACTTCTGTCGAAGTACACGTGGAAGAGGGTGTTGTCGGTAATATATCAATCGATAATAATGACTCAGTGTTACCCCCGGATATTGAAATCATCCCGCTGGAGTCTGACTCTATCGGCAGCCATGTGCCCCGGGCTTTAAAGAATAAGATCTGGGCTAACGAATATATAAACTTGGCACTTCTTTTGAAGGGTTTTTCTGAACTCAGCGAGTTTTGCTCAAGTGCGCCAATGGTTGTCGGATCTAGCGGGATGATTGAGGCCCGTCCACCCACATGTAAGGAAAAACTTCCTAATGTTGAAAAATGGACGGATGCGTTTCACATCTTCATGTCCATTTATTTGGAAAGGTTTCCGCAAAAAAACCAAGAATTATTGCAATATGTCAGTACTATACGTGGGGCGGCGTCGCAAGGGGTGGCAGGGGGTTGGAGAGTTTATGACGAGCAATTTCGTGCACGCTTGAGTCAATCTCCTGATTTCCCCTGGAATAAGATAAACTCTAACCTTTGGCTCAGAGTAATGACCCCTCAAGCTGGGGGTGGGGGAAAAAATTATCAGACTAAGTCTAATTACAGTAATTCAAAAATGAATAATAATGCCAAGGCCTCAGGCACATGTAATGCCTTTAACAAAGGCAGCTGTAAATGGGTGAATTGTAAATTTGCTCATATTTGTAGTACCTGTGGAGACAATCACAATGCAACACAGTGCAAGTCTTTTCGATCCTCAGTTGAGAGTTCAAAACGTGAGAAAGGTTTCCCTAGCCAAACACAGCCTCGGAAGAACCCCAATACAAAGTGATAGGTTAGGGGAGGAATTAAAAGATTACCCTGACAAAAAAGTTATAAAAGAACTTGTGGATGGGTTTTCAGCTGGTTTTTCTCTGCACTATCAAGGGGCTAGAGAAGACACTGATTGTGCTAATTTAGCTTCAGTCAGACAAAATATAGATATAGCACTTGAGAAAGTTCATAAGGAAATAGATTTAGGTAGAGTAGCTGGCCCATTTGAGGAAAGGCCATTACCTGATTTAAGAATTTCCCCTTTGGGCCTTGTTCCAAAAAGTACCCCTGGGGAGTTTAGATTAATTCAGCATTTATCTTATCCTAAGGAAAATTCTGTGAATTCAGGTATTGATCCAGCCCTTTGTTCTGTTGAATATACAAAATTTGATGCTGCTATTGAATTAGTCCAAAACTTAGGTAAGGGGGCATTATTAGCAAAATCTGATATCAAATCTGCTTTTCGGTTGTTGCCCATATCGCCACAAGATTTTAATCTATTGGGATTTAAACTTGATGGTTATTATTTTGATAAATGTCTTCCAATGGGCTGTTCAATATCATGTAGCTTGTTTGAAAAATTTTCTGGTGCCTTAGAATGGATTGTGCAGAGGAAGTCGGGGGATAACTCACTATTACATTATTTAGATGATTTCCTGTTTGGAGGAAAAGCCAGTTCCACTCAATGTAAAAAAAATTTTGGATTCCTTTTTAACTACCTGTGAATACTTGGGTGTGCCCATAGCTGATGAAAAAACCATGGGACCTTGCACTGTGTTGTGTTTCCTGGGGTTAGAAATTGACACTGTAAATCTCACAATAAAAATTCCTGTTACCAAGGTATCTGAAATTTGTGAAAAATTGCAAAATGTCAGGACAAAAAGTAAAGTTACTTTGAGGGAAATGCAGTCTTTAATTGGGGCCTTGCATTTTGCTTGCAGAGCAGTAAGACCTGGCCGTGCATTTTGTCGGCGCTTAATTAATTCAATTAAGGGTTTGACCAAGCCCCATCATCACATTCGGGTTACTGGTGCCATCAAAAAGGATATTGAGGCATGGTTGTATTTCTTTAAGGAATTTAATGGAGTTTCATTTTTTCTTAACAAGGAATGGGAGAGTACTCATGATTTGTGTTTGTACACGGACAGTGCAGGGGGCCCTGGAATGGGATTTGGTGCATTTTTTAACGGCAAATGGTGTTTTGGGGTATGGCCAGTAGGATGGCATGATCAGGGCCTGACCCAAATTATTACAGTGCTAGAGTTTTTTCCCATTTTAGTGGCTGTGGTTGTTTGGGGGGATATATTGGCAAATAAAAAAATATTGTTCAGGTCGGACAATACTGGAGTTGTCAGCATTATTAACTCCCTCACATCCAAGTCAGATTTGGTTATGAAACTTGTCCGAGTATTTGTGATCACATGTTTAAAGTTTAATATTATGTGTAGATGTTTACATATTTCGGGTGTAGATAACACTATTGCCGATTCAATTTCCCGTTTGCAGTGGAACAGATTCTACCAGTTAGCTCCGGGTGCAGAACAAGAACCATACTCGGTGCCAAGCCATCTATGGGAAATCTTCAATTAGAGATTAAGTCTTTATTACAAAGCAGTTTGGCTAATAATACCAGGCAGGCGTACATAAATGGCTTGTCATCTTTCAGTACATTCAGACAGTTGTACAGGTTGTCTGAATTGTGGCCAGTGCCCGTTAATCACCTGCTTCAATATATGGCCTATTTGTCCATTAGTGGGGCATCTCCGAGCACAACTCAAACTTACTTGTCAAGCATAAGTTACCACCACAAAATCAAAGAGTGGGGGGACCCTACAAAAGCATTTTTGGTACTAAAAGTTATGGAGGGATATAGGCGAAAAAAGGTTTCTCGGGATGTGCGGGCACCAATCACCTTAGATATTTTGAGAAAGATAGTTGGGGCGTTACCGTTTGTGTGCTCATCAGCATATGAAACTTGTTTATTTCGTGTGGCTTACCTTTTGGCCTTTTTTGGTTTTTTGAGGGTTGGTGAACTAACTAGAACTGCTAAATCTGATCATGCTGTGGGAATATCTGATGTGTCGGTAAACAATAAGGAGGTAATACTGACATTAAAGCACTCAAAAACTGACCAATCAGGTAAGGGCCACGTTCTGGTCATTGGTGCATGCTCAGAGGTATCTTTGTGCCCGGTTCATGCGATTACAGCATTTCTCAGGATCCGTCCAAAATCCTCAGCCCGTGAACTCCTATGCCATGCTAGTGGGGTTCCATTGACCAGATATCAGTTTTCAGCAGTCATGGTTAAGGCCCTGCGTTCAACAAATATACCAGCAGCCAATTTTAAGACTCACAGTTTCCGAATAGGTGCTGCCTCAGAGGCTGCATTAAATGGAATTTCAGATGAGCAGATCAAGGTTATGGGTCGTTGGAAGTCGGCTTGTTTTCAAAGATATATTCGTATCAATACATTTACAGTGTTAGGCCGTTGACTTGTTACCACTTCATATATACCTCACTGTACTGTGTGAACTTCTCTGACCCTTGTTGTCATGCTGGGAACATTTATGTGTATAGATTTTGTATTGCCAGACAGGTATACATTCATTAACTTACAGATGTGTGGATAATTGGGTCATCCCTCATTTATTGGGCAGAGAAGCGGGCATTAGAGAGACTCGACTCAAACCTTCGTCTAGATCACATGAAAGTAAGCATTACATGGAATGGGACCCGGGGGATGCACTGGGCAGATCTCCTTCCAAAGGTTCGCAAGATGCTGTCAAACAGTCAGGGTGGCCCACCATCCATTATTGTTTTGCATTTGGGTTCGAATGATTTGGTTGACAGGGCGTGTGCTGACTTGCAAGCTGCTGTGGAGGCAGATATCAAACAGCTACACCAGCTGCTCCCTGAGACCGTGCTAATTTGGTCTGATATCCTGTGCAGATTATTTTGGTATAAAGCAGGTAATTTAAGAGCCATTGAGAGAAAGCGAGCTAGAATTAACAGGAAGGGTAGGGCAGCTGTTCTTGCTTTTGGGGGTAGAATTATTCACCATGCAGAGATCTCCTATGATTGTCCGGGTTTATTTCGCCGAGATGGTACTCATCTGTCTGACATTGGTTGTGATATATTTATCACAGATTTTCAAACAGAACTTGAAGAATTTGTTTCTCAAAATGTGTTCTGAACCATTCAAATTATTTGAGGGATGAGTAGGAGCTCGTTGCTTGCCAGATTGGGGCAGTAAGCTTAGCTTACTGTGTGGCGGAATTCTGGCAAGTTGGCAACATAACATGTTTCAATAAGCAAATACCCTATCTTATTAAGGTGGTACATTTATCATGGGTAGGGCTGCTTGGTTTTCCCAAGGGACATAATTCAGTGGTAATGTAATAAAGGGGAGATAACTCTGGCAGGAGATGGATAGATCCAAGGAAGTTATGTGTTGGCCTGCACGGAATTCCCATGGGGCTCATATTGGTTAATAGGCAACTGCTTGGAGCACGGCGTGCTTTGCACAAGGGTTGTGTTCGCCTGGTTTCCCAGGGAACGGTCCTATCTGGTTGCTGTTTTGTCCGGTCACCATGCTGGTGGGCATACAGCTGGAGATATCAATCTTGCCAGAGTTCCAGATATGCTTATTGATACATGTTACAGCCATCTAGTTTTTGAATAAATCTGTGGCCTTCAATCCCATTACTGTGTTGGAGTTGTTTGTTTAGAATAATGGTCTTGAGATAATACTGATTACCGCAGTATACGGTAATCAAATTTATTGAAGCCATTATGGAAGTTTGATGTTTGATAGCATAAGGTCACCAGAGTTGTCTTTCTTGGTAAATCTGAAGTATAACAGGATGTTAGAGTTATCTTTCTTTGTATTGAAATCTACAGATAGTTTCCCATAATTCCATGTTATTGGGTGAATTTCCGGAATGTTTAGTCATATTTTGGGAGACAAGCCATGCACATGTGTGCACAACAAAAAATTTGAATTCCCACCCTCCCAACCCCTATTAAACATTTGTGAATTTTCTTTAGGGAATTGCTTTTCAATAGTAAAATTAATTATGAATGCATATTATGATTTATTATGTACCATTACGTACATAACTTTCCAGCAATTTCAAGATGTTTAGCACTTGGGAAGTGAGCGCACATACTGCTTTAGTTTTGTTTCTTTCAGTTTACACCAACTTCATCATGGATTTCTGGAATGCCTGGCAGGGACATTATACGTCTGCTTAGTGTGTGTGGCCGGCATTAACTGCCGACTCATTCTGGATATGTGTAGTGTTTTTATTTTTCTCAATTGGACTGTAAGTATAGTCTTCGGACAAATATCACAGGTGGAGAGGGGTAAGTCTTATTACCAAAGACATCTTATTATTAGATTCAAAGTTAACTCGTGCCCAATATGTTGGCCAGTGACTGTGGACAGTGGGCAGAGATACTGAATTGTTAAATGATTTACATAAATCATTCATGATTATACTGTGTACATGACTTCAACTAGTTTTCTTTGTCACAGATTTGCTGTTTAAATAAACATGGCGGAATTCTGGCAAGTTGGCAACATAACATGTTTCAATAAGCAAATACCCTATCTTATTAAGGTGGTACATTTATCATGGGTAGGGCTGCTTGGTTTTCCCAAGGGACATAATTCAGTGGTAATGTAATAAAGGGGAGATAACTCTGGCAGGAGATGGATAGATCCAAGGAAGTTATGTGTTGGCCTGCACGGAATTCCCATGGGGCTCATATTGGTTAATAGGCAACTGCTTGGAGCACGGCGTGCTTTGCACAAGGGTTGTGTTCGCCTGGTTTCCCAGGGAACGGTCCTATCTGGTTGCTGTTTTGTCCGGTCACCATGCTGGTGGGCATACAGCTGGAGATATCAATCTTGCCAGAGTTCCAGATATGCTTATTGATACATGTTACAGCCATCTAGTTTTTGAATAAATCTGTGGCCTTCAATCCCATTACTGTGTTGGAGTTGTTTGTTTAGAATAATGGTCTTGAGATAATAGTGATTACCGCAGTATACGGTAATCAAATTTATTGAAGCCATTATGGAAGTTTGATGTTTGATAGCATAAGGTCACCAGAGTTGTCTTTCTTGGTAAATCTGAAGTATAACAGGATGTTAGAGTTATCTTTCTTTGTATTGAAATCTACAGATAGTTTCCCATAATTCCATGTTATTGGGTGAATTTCCGGAATGTTTAGTCATATTTTGGGAGACAAGCCATGCACATGTGTGCACAACAAAAAATTTGAATTCCCACCCTCCCAACCCCTATTAAACATTTGTGAATTTTCTTTAGGGAATTGCTTTTCAATAGTAAAATTAATTATGAATGCATATTATGATTTATTATGTACCATTACGTACATAACTTTCCAGCAATTTCAAGATGTTTAGCACTTGGGAAGTGAGCGCACATACTGCTTTAGTTTTGTTTCTTTCAGTTTACACCAACTTCATCATGGATTTCTGGAATGCCTGGCAGGGACATTATACGTCTGCTTAGTGTGTGTGGCCGGCATTAACTGCAGACTCATTCTGGATATGTGTAGTGTTTTTATTTTTCTCAATTGGACTGTAAGTATAGTCTTCGGACAAATATCACAGGTGGAGAGGGGTAAGTCTTATTACCAAAGACATCTTATTATTAGATTCAAAGTTAACTCGTGCCCAATATGTTGGCCAGTGACTGTGGACAGTGGGCAGAGATACTGAATTGTTAAATGATTTACATAAATCATTCATGATTATACTGTGTACATGACTTCAACTAGTTTTCTTTGTCACAGATTTGCTGTTTAAATAAACATGGCGGAATTCTGGCAAGTTGGCAACATAACATGTTTCAATAAGCAAATACCCTATCTTATTAAGGTGGTACATTTATCATGGGTAGGGCTGCTTGGTTTTCCCAAGGGACATAATTCAGTGGTAATGTAATAAAGGGGAGATAACTCTGGCAGGAGATGGATAGATCCAAGGAAGTTATGTGTTGGCCTGCACGGAATTCCCATGGGGCTCATATTGGTTAATAGGCAACTGCTTGGAGCACGGCGTGCTTTGCACAAGGGTTGTGTTCGCCTGGTTTCCCAGGGAACGGTCCTATCTGGTTGCTGTTTTGTCCGGTCACCATGCTGGTGGGCATACAGCTGGAGATATCAATCTTGCCAGAGTTCCAGATATGCTTATTGATACATGTTACAGCCATCTAGTTTTTGAATAAATCTGTGGCCTTCAATCCCATTACTGTGTTGGAGTTGTTTGTTTAGAATAATGGTCTTGAGATAATTGAACCAGGTTACCGCTCTGACCATTCTATCTCTAACATACATGTACACTTGTCTTTTAATAACTTCATACGGGGAAAAGGTTTATGGAAATTTTATAACTCTCTTTTATTTGATGCTGGATTTTTAAATATTATTAAATCAACAATAGATAATGTCAAGCCGCAGTACTCGATACCTATTTATAACATAAACAATATCAATAATATACCTTTAAATGAAATAGCATTTACCATTAACGATTAACTTTTCTTAGAAACTCTTATGATGGAAATTAGGGTTAAAAGAAAAAACAGGACCTAACACATTTTTAAATGAGTTAGATGATAAAAAAAAGGAATTAGAAGAAATAAGAAAGCACAAAATTATAGGAAATATGATACGCTCAAGGGCAAAATGGATAGGGGAGGGGGAGAAAACAACCATTACTTTTGTAATTTAGAATCTCGCAACTATACTAGTAAAATTAATCCAAATATAACCAAAGATGATGGGACAATAATATCTGACCAAACTGAAATTTTAAAAGAAACTGAAAATCACTACAGAACCTGATACAAAGAACGCAATTCACTAAAAAATATTAATCATGAATTACTTCTAGAATCACACACTGTACCCAAACTATCTGCCAATGAATCATTAAATATTGAAGGCCCACTTACTATAAATGAATTAACAAACACACTTTTAAAAATGAAAAACAACAAAAGTCCTGGTTCCGATGGTTTTACAGTTGAATTTTTAAAACTGTTTTGGAAGCAATTAGGACCATTTATTTTAAGATCACTAAATTACAATTATAGTATATCCGAACTTTCAGTAACACAAAAACAGGGAATTATAACTTGCATTCCAAAAGGTAATAAACCTCGTAATAAATTAAATATTTGGAGACCTATAACACTTCTAAATAATATCTATAAATTAGCATCTGGTGCAATAGCTGAGAGATTCAAAAATGTTATTATAAGTAAATTATTCCTGATAGATATATAGGAGAAAACACACGCTTGATTTATGATGTTATGCAGTATACAGAAGATAATAATATACCTGGACTATTACTTTTAATTGATTTTGAAAAAGCGTTAGACTCTGTGTCATGGAATTTTATCACTAAAACTTTGAAGTATTTTAATTTTGGCCCGAACATTATCAAATGGATAAAACTTTTTCAGAATAATACACACTCAGCAGTAAATATAGAGAGGAATCTGTCAAAAAATTTCAATATAGAACGCGGGTGTCGTCAGGGGGATCCGATATCTTCATATATTATCATTTTATGTGCTGAAACTCTATCAATAATTTTGAAAAATAATAAAAATATCAAAGGAATACTTATCAGGGAAAAGGAAATTCTCTTATCACAATTTGCTGATGACACATCTGTTATTCTAGATGGTTCAAAAAAATCTTTAGATGAAACATTAAAAGCTCTTAACTACTTTGCTAGTATTTCTGGACTAAAAAGGAACTTCTCCAAGACCCACGTAGTACGGATTGGCAGCCAAACATACAGTGAAAACACTTTAACTACAAATTTTGACTTAAAATGGGGAAGTACACGCTTCACCCTATTAGGCATAGAATATGATGTAGACCTACACAGAATTATCAAACTGAATTTTGACAAAAGGCTTGCAAAACTGAAGTCTTTAATATCTGTCTGGAACAAAAGAATACTTACACCAATAGGTGAAATAGTTTTATCAAAACTCTACTAATATCTCAGTTCAATCAATTGTTTATATCGCTTCCCAATCCTGATGACTTATATATTAAACAAATTAAAAATTAACAATACATTGTACAATTTTCTATGGAATGGTAAACCAGATCAGGTAAAAAGTGATATAATTATAAAAAAAACTATGAAGAAGGGGGGCTTAAAATGATGCATCTAAAATCTTTCATAACTGCTCTTAAAGCAACTTGGATCAGAAGGATATATAGTAAACTAGGATATTGGGGTATTGTTGTGGAGTCGTTATTTGATATACAGAAATTAGCAAATATTGGAATTGAGAAACTGAACAAATATCAAAAAATTGTACAAATGTATTTTGGAAAGAGGTTTTAGATGCCTGGTATAAAACTATCAATGCAAGCAAAATATACAAAACAAATATAAGTGAAAATCCAATATGGTTTTAACAGTGAAATAAAAACAGATCGAAAAGTTATCTTCAATGATACATGGTACAAAAAAGGGGTTAATTTTATCCATAACAGTATTAAAAAAAGTTGGTTCTTTATACAGCTTAGAAGAATTTTGTGAAAAATCTAACATTCGTGCTAATTTTTTAAGTTTTCAGAGTCTGAAAAATGTTATAGGTCAGTTTATAAGGAAGAACCGCCAAGCTTTCGATTCAGAAAATAATATTATGCTACCCAATATACCAATAAATCTCAAATTAATCCTAAGATGTAAGAAAGAGCTTGTGAAATATATACCATATTAATCAAATATGAAGTTAAACCCACCGCCCAAAATAAATGGAATCAAAATTTCAATATTGATGAAGATACGTGGAAAAATATATACAAATATCCTTTCAATACCTGTACCAGTTCCAACTACAATGGTTACAATTCAGAATAAATCATAGAATCCTAACCACAAACACATTTTTTATTTCAAATTGGTAAATTAGATAATAATATGTGCACTTTTTGTAAAACTCGTCCAGAAACAATAACACATATTTTATGGGATTGTGAAAAGGTATCTAAATTGATAGAAAATATAAGAATTACTATTATTGCTAAAAATCCTGGTCTTCGATTTAATAATAAAAAAAGAATTTATCTTTGGCAAGCAAATTATTAAATATACAAAGTTCAACTTGGATAACTTGATATTACTCACGGTAAAACAATATATATATAAATCAAAATGCCTTGAAATAGAACTCAATCTGAATGGTCTAAAAAAGAATATCAAATTCGAATTAAAAGCTCACAAAATTCTAATATCTAAAAGTAACATTAACAATAAAATACAGATTAACACACAAATACATCACTGGTTGCAAATCTGAATATTAAAATAAATTAAATTCAACATATTTCTGACCTAGGTTTCCCTTGTCTTTGCTTTGTCCCACATGTCTTGTCCTTTGTCTTTTGTGTGCATTTGATTTTTGTCTGTATACCTAATGTCAATAATACCATTTATTTATTAACAATTTATTTACATATCAATGTATGTGGGTATATACATGTTACTGTAAGCGTAGGTGTATTCATGTGTGAATTCTTTTTTGTCTCTGTATATAGGTACATGCTTGATAAATATTTATTCGTAGTGAATTAATTAGCAACAACTATTAAGCTATAAGAGCTTAACCAACAATCATGTACCATATGTGTTGCATCATGTCATGTAAAAAAATGAAAATGGATAAAACATAAAAATAAAAATAAATCATCTGAAAATCTAAAAACCTGATACGAATTTACTTTTTCATTTTCCGGTTTTGACCAAAATGCTTTACAAAATTTAGAATTTTAGCATTTGATTTTTTTTATTAATATCAATATTTACAAAAGCACACATATCATCAGTGTGTTTAAATGTCTAGCAATGTATACAATATGAACAAATGTACACATTGTAAAACATGCGTGTAAACATTATATCACACACGTAGATACATGT